ATTCTACTCGTGATATGAAGAATACTAGTGATAGACCTTTACCATAATTCACTTCATATCGAGTTTTATACAAAGAGTCAACTGGTGAAACCCTAAGATTAATATAGATATACATATTGTTGATAGAGACTATAATATAAAGTATATTCTATCTATCAGATAAGCAAAAATGTAAAATATTACTCATATTGATTTCATTGTTATTAAATTGTGATGCAGTATCACGTTATTGAGTGATAGCAGTGTCAGACTCACCTTGAAATTTGCACGCCTGTGCACGATTATTTTAATGATAGGGCCACCGGGAGCTCGATATAGCTAACCAAACTCTTAGTGTATATATTTGTTATATGGATACATTTATCATGTTGTAAATTTGAATGAATATTCGTCGTATTAGCCGGGAAATCAAACTTTCTATGCATTTGTATAAGGAAACACACGTACAGTATACGGATGACGGTCACGAATATGACCGTTTTACTTCAGTGTATGATGGTTCGATACTATATCTAAGCCTTGTTGAACTCTTAAGTTCGCTGAAACACTGATCACTAAACGTGAAATACTGAGCTTTCGGATTTAAAAAATACACTCGTTACGATTCCAAATATTTCAAGATACGTTCGTTCGCTACACCACGACCAGGAAGATCGCGAAAGGCATCTTTCTGAATTGCGTGATAAACGAAGGAGGGTCCACGACAGACACGAATTACATCTTCCACCGCCTCCTCCCACCGATCAATCATCGGTTGTTGATGATACGGAAAGCAGTTCCGAAGAGGAAATCCAACAAGAGGAATTACCATCGAAAAGTACGACTTATTTTTGGGCGCGCGCTATTTACGTCGTGTAGGTGCTGCTACACCTGAGGTGCCTGCTGCTAGTAATGATGATGATAGTGAGGAAGAGGATTTTGATGAAGATGATTTTGCCTCGAATTGGCGGTCAAAGTCAATGTGACGATTATTACGTTTCTAAAAACGATGATGTTGGGTGATTTATTCCGAAGTTGGGAAATATCCGCAAGAGCTGTCTTCGTCGACTCTAAGAAGCTCGTCAGATCGGAATCGAACCGGGAGCCGATCGAATTGCTGAAATACTCCGAATTACGAGCAGCTCTGGAAACCCCAAAACGAGAGTTCATACATTACTGAAGTGTAACTTATTGAGAGAGTCGACTCCCGAGCTTTTGCACCGAGGACTACGTTCGAGTCACGCTCTGTGTTTACCATCGATATCAGTGCGGTCAGGGAGATATTCAATATTTTGGTGTTAAAAGTGGAACACCGAGAGTACTTGGACGCAAACGGCGCTTGTTCTTTTCGGGATTTTCGATGGTGTTGCCGCGTGGCTTGTGAACTCTTTTGAGTCGGAAAATTTACCGAAATTGGGACTCGGAAAGCCATGATACTCGGACGGAATCGATCCAAGTATCATTGCACACGATCACACACTTTCCTGCCGTCGATGTCCTGGACGGACTGATACCTTGTGAGGCCGAAGAAGGCACTTGAAAGTCAATCCTTTTTCTTTTTAAATCGAAAATCAATATGTCATCTTTATTGCCACTATAAGGCTGTATACCTTGATGTAGTCGTATACAGTCTATTGGTTCGGCACATCGGTCAGGCTATGTATACACGCTGCCGTGATGGGACGTTGCATATTAGTTATGTTCCATCACTCCCACCGTCACTGCGCCACAAAATTATTCTGAAACTCTGTTTAAACCACACCACTAGAATTCGTAAATTAACCACAGGAATTGACCGTAGCTTGAGGGTGCTTCTCATCCTCTTCAGCGGGCGACTTTTCGAATCCACGCGAATTCGAAAAATCGTGGTTTATCTGTGCAATATCTTCGGCAGTCAAAACCGACTGCAGGGCCATTTCAACCTAAATAGAAATAGATGACACAACAAAGTGAGCAACTGACTTTAGTTATATGATTCCAATTCCATAACAAATTTCGAGACAATCAATAGTGAGAGTTAATCGTGTTGTTTGATGTTTATATATTAGAACGGCAACCAGGTGGGATTCAGGAATCGATATTAAATGCAGTTGAAAATTTCAAGTGACACTCTCATTCTAAAGAAGCTCAAATATTCCACAATGAGAAAAGTTGGTCCTGGTAGTAATTCAAGTTTATACTGCGTTTCCATGTTCATCTCTACACAGCTCTAGATAAGATACCACTCCTCTCGTTACACTTGCTATAGTCCATCCGAAATACTCTCCTTTTTCGCTGCACTGATTGCCATATTCTACGTCGATTCTCGAGGTGCAGTGAACCACGTCAAACTTCTCAGGCAAACAGTCATACACTTGAAAGGTTCTCAAACACAAACGAACCCATCTGAAAAAAAACGAGTGGGAAAATATGCACATAACAAACTACATGTGTTAGTGACTCTATGAAAATTCCGGGAAAATCTTTGAGAAATTCTCACTACTCTCCGTACATTTCAACTCCGATTCGCGTATATTCGTATGGAAACTCCCGAGCTCAGCTGAAGAAATCAAACATATATTCCTCCAACACTACGTTGATAAATATCACCACGAGGAAAGATACCAAATCGCAGTATGAAGATTTCCCCAATTTACCTACCTAGATGCCAAATCTCGAGCTTGTGTAAGATACCCCAACCTCATAAGCCCCATCCAAGTGATCATCTGATGCGGTGCCCATCCAGCTGGCCAATCCCACTGACCGGTGAATCTAAAAACAACAACATATACAACAACACCATATACAACAATAACATATACAACAACAGCAGCAACAACAACATATACAACAACAGCAGCAACAACAACAGCAACATATACGACAACAACAACAACAACGACACCAGTGTGGAGTGTGGAAAAAACGATACTCATCAAATTCATAGTATACCCGCATCTGAAGGGTGACAGTTCTTTGGGGGTTACACCAGTTGAAATATATGTTTGCTTTCCTCAGCTGATCTTAGGGCTCAGTCAGAAGTTAAATCACTTATAATAGGCGTTTATATACGAATTAGGATATAAATATACAGAAACCAACGAGAATTTCCCGAATGACAATATGAAAATTCTGAGGTACTCCGAATTCACGCGTAAACCTCCACGATGAGCGAGGAAACTCCTGAGCTCAGCTGGGAAAACCAAAAACATACATTTTACCAACACTGCTAACAGCAACAGTAACCAAAAAAACGAAATAATAAAAGCTTCGCTCCGCTAAAATATCTTACCCTTTTTCATTGTTTTTTAAATCGTCCGATACCACACCACCAGGTTGACCAAGATAGCCCATCAACGTGTTAACAACCTCATTAGAAAGTTGCCGATCTCCATCAACCACACCGCACCATAGAGGATACGCCAATCCCGTCACCGACAAAAACGATGTGTCCACTTGCCCGTTACGCGTGTTGTAGTCGAAAAATGCACTCCTTTCTGGTATGTACCTGCGTGCAAAAAGATACGCATATCTTTGATCGATATCTTCTACAAGTCACTCCTCACATTAATCTCAATATCGTCAACTTTCGCGCTTCCGCAAGAGCCGTCCAATCTCGAGATGGCTCTTTCAAAACTACAGGGGGGAAATCAAAATCGATCACGTGATCGATTATGATACTTACATGCCATATCTCGCTCTATCTTATACAAGATACAATTCAAATCGACTGTTGCCATATCACATGCATCGTATCGATTCAACCGCGCTGTGGTGTCGTGACCCGACTCACGGACGGCCATATCAGATTGGACCTGAGCATCAACTAGAAATATTCAGGAGTACCGAGATAGACATGTAGGAAACTTTTAACAGAAATTTTCTGAAAAAAATCTGGAAATATTCTCAGTCAATTTTTGAAGTTGAAGGAGTATTTGTTCTTCTCAGCCGAGCTCACGAGTTTCCCCACTAGACAAGTTTACGTACCAATTATGGTAGAAGTGTGCAGAGAACTCCAACAAGAATTTCCCAAAATTTCATCCGACCCTCAATATTATAACTAACACATGTAGTTGACCACTAGGCCTTCGTGACCAAGGGGCGGAGCTCACTGAGTCCACGTCCATGGACTCAATCAAAGAATTTTACATAGGTCCAGCCCGGTTCGATCCCCGGGTAGGACACTTCTCCATCATTAAAGTTTTTCGTGCATATCTCTTCGAGCTGTTCGCATAATCGAGTTTTCCGATTTTTCCCAACACCTCCGCATATAGAGGAGTCGTTTGATCTATCTGATAACCCCCCACGCTTCGTAGTTAAGCCAGAATAATTCTGCATGCACGCCTGTTGTTGCGGTATATGCTCCGCTCGCTCCGCAATGCGCATATTCCCCCCATTATTAATACCGCTCTCTCGAGATCTCCTCCCTCTAACGTGAGCATCCAATCGTAATGCCCCGGTTCCACAGCCCTACATCGAGCTGCCGGTGATCCACCGTATCTACGACGAAAATTGTATTCGTGAAACGCTTCGCTCCGCTAAGAAATTTTCTCACTTCGACAAGCCTGTTATTTCATCGTATCTTGGCGTTGACTTCCACACAGTATCATATTCCTTCACAATTGCCGCTGTGGCTCGTTGGACCTGCCGTTGAGGAAATGCAAGATTGAGCAAGATGAGCAAGATTTGGCCTAAAGCTACCAGTTTATCATCGTCTGTAATGTACGGTAGCAATAGCATGAGGGTTGACGATAACAGAGGGGGTTGCGCACGATTCAGAAAATACCTGAAAATTCCACAAATACCGGGAAATTTCCCGATTTTTTTTCAGAAAAAATTGTAAATGAAACCAGTTAACACTATACCGCGGAGTTGCCCGAGATATTGAAACACTAGAAAAGAAATCGTTGAGTGTGGAATCAGCACGCATACACAATCGCGGCGTGGGGGAATATGCACATGATCAACTACATGCGTAGATGACGACATTTGTGAATTTTTCGAGGGGAAAAATTTCGGGAAATTCTTATTGATTCCTGTATTACACTTCTACCCGAATTCGTACGTAAACTCTTCTGAGCTCAACTGATGAGAAAAGCCAACATATACATTCCTACTCCAACACTACAGAACTCGCCACATTATTACGATCGATTGGCATTAAGAACTTTGCCGTAATTCTCCACCTGATACACGTGGTTTCTCAACATGGACGTGGCGATTCGAAGGAGCTCAGTATTCGGTGGTGACGATGAATGGACCAACCCAAGAGTAATGAAATAGCTGAGGAAGAAGAAAAGATACTCAAAGATATCTCCACAACGCACAGCGAAGATTTTATGATAAATTCACTCTAAAATGATCGACCATCGGTTCACTATAGTATTTCGTGGATGACTTTTATCATTCAACTTCAAAAACTGTTGAATATCAACAATTTGGGAGATCCCGGGTTCAAATCTCACTTGTGACACCTTCAGAAGATTTTCCTACAGCGTTGGAAAGTTATGTTCGCTTTTCTATGCTGAGCTTGAGAGTTTTCCCGCTAAATATACACGTTAACATACAAATTCGTGTAGAAGTGTACAGAAATCAATGAGAATTTTTCAAAATTTTAATTTTCTCACCAACACATGTGGTTGACCATATACATATTTTCCCACGCTTCCTACAATATAAATATATATACAACTATGGCGCAAATAATTCCTTTCCATCACACTAGTGTAAATTTAACCGTCCCAGGGATCGAACCCACGCCCTTATGGTACCTATCCCAGCCATACATCTCGTTGAACCGTGCGCCAGGTACCATATACGAAGAGCCGAACTCTAACGCCAGTAGTGCTGAGTCCATCTCTTCGAAGTCTTTCGTCGATTTCGGTACACCAGGAAACGCTTCCACTCCAACTGCTGAGTTCTTCAAGGCATCTTTGTAAACATTCAAATCGGCTGCTGGTACGAACAGCAACGGGTTGCCTAAAATTCACCAGAAAAATTAAAATCAATTGAAAAAAATTATATGAATAATCAAGATTGCCTAAAATTCGCCAGAAAAAATGAAAATCAATTGGAAAAATTATATGAATAATCAAGATTGCCTAAAATTTACTAGAAAAATGAAAATCATTTGAAAAGAAATATACGAGTAATCAAGATTGCCTAAAATTTACCAGAAAAAATTAGAATTAATTGAAAAAAAAATTACATGAATAATCAATACGCTGCCGTATGAGTTTCACGAAAATTCGATTTCACAAAATCATTATTCTTGTCCGTGGAAACAGAATTATACACGAAGTCTGAGATGGTTGATTATACGAGTCGCAAGTGAGATTTTCATCAACCTCAGTACGACAGGTTTCGTTGTACCCAATTTCACGAAAAAAAACTTATTATATTTCCAATTTCACGATTGTAAACTTATTAGAGTTTTGATGTAGAAAACACTAGTGAAAAAAATTAAATTTCACGACTACTGCATATTATCACCGCGAATATCGCGTTTTTCACAGAATATTACTCCACGTGAAACTTATTATATTTTCCAACCTACCATCAGCTCTCCTCGATTTAACCTTAGAGTCGACTAAGCATCTTATTATCTTGTCGGCTTCGGGTCCCATCTGCCGAGTTAATGATGGCCACGCCCGAGTTGCTATAGTGTGACGGAGTATATCTAGAGGCTGCTCAACCATTATACCGATACTAGTATTTGAAATATATATTTAAATCGCTACAATGTTGGAGGAATATATATTAGCCTTTCTCATCAGCTCAGGAGTTCAGAAACCAATTTTCCAAAATTTTCTCAGGAATTTCATATTGTCGTACACTTTCTCAAAATTAGAGAACAGAAAAACTATTTCATCGCGATGCATTTACGTGTCAAATTCGCTCGCGCTCGCCATCTGGCCGCCAGCCTACACCTTTTAAACATCTAGTTCGATTCTGGAACCATCAATTTCGTCGGGACGCGCGAAGTTGGAGGTACGAGTCCGAAACGGGAAGATCATATTCACAATTAGAACTCTCAACTTCGTCATACAACATTCAAGTACGTCCGAAGGCGATAGTAAGTTTAAGTTCGTGTTAATAGAACTTTCAATTTCGACTTTCGCATCTTCGAATTCGTCATAGAACTTTCAATTTCGTCGAGTACACCTTCAGACCTTCAATTTCGTCCATTTAGGAAAATCGACTTCGTTGTCCGGAACTTCGTGTTACCGGGACAATTACGCCAGTACTCTCATGATGAGGGTTAGGATTAGTGCTCGGTTCTGCATGATGCCTACGGACGAGTGACACGGTAAGCAAAACACGAGCTAGAAATTGATGTTTCCCAAAACGAACTAGATGTTTAGAAGGTGTAGAGTCACAAATCAGAACTCATCTTCCCCGTAATTCATCATCGTGCGACGTTGAGGAATATGATAGATTGACTTCAATGAGAAGTTGGCAAGCTCTGGTGCTCTTTAAGGAGTGGGGAAATAATTACTATCACAATACTAATTCTGTGATTTTAACAAAAGTGTGATTAGGTTAACAGAATTATACACGTTTAACATGGTGGATTAGACGAGGCACAAGTGAAATGTTGACCATCAACAGCAGCCTTAACCACTCCAACAAATGAACGAAGATAGGTGAGATGCAACCAAAACAACGATTGAACCGCACCCCGAATGAAATATGCACGCATACACATGTGCTTGCGTGCACTCCACGATGTAACTAAAGTTTGCTCATATGCGCACAACTGAATTTATTCAAAAGATGGATGTTACTCTTGAACTGATATCTACACATTCATGGAGTGGCTTTCCTGTTCTCAGACATGTATGTTTTTGTACTTTCTGAATTCTGTTGGTGAAGTGTTCAACAAACTACTGATTCCCAGTTTGCGTTTCAAGAGGGCAGTAATATAATGAGGAAACGGGCGGAGAGGGAGCGGGCGTAGCAGAAGTTATCTGAGCCTAGAATTCTTCTGTCGTTAGTTCGTCTGACGAAAATTTGTCAATGTATGTTACTCTCGAGCTGACATCTACATTGTAATGGAGTGCTCTTCCTGTTCTCAGGCATGTATGTTTTTGTACTTTCTGAATTCTGTTGACAAAGTCTTCAACAAACTACTGGTTCGCCTTGTTTGTGCTGATCATCGGCAGCCATGATGGATGATAACACAATTTCAGAGGAGAGTGTGGATGATGAAAAATATAATCTTAGTTAATTATCACATGCCACGTTATACACTGCAACCGTTTCACTCTTAAGTGCGCGAGCTTATATACGAATCTTTACAGTGAGAAATGGCGAGGACAGTTTCAAACTATCTAGATATCCCCTTCGCATCGGAATATCCGATCAACTACCAAAGGTAGCTAATATCGACCCAACTGAGTCAAGTCTCAAAGCTATACCACACCGAGGTGTATCGTGACATTCGTCCACGTCACGAAGTTCCACTCTGAGGAAATATGCATATGGTCAGCTTCCAGTGTGTTGTTGATAATATGGGAATCCTGGGAGGAAATCATCATTGCTCTCTAAACACGCTTACCCGAATTCATATGTGAGCCTCATATAATTAGGAAACTCCTGAGCTCAGCTGAGGAAAGGATTCAGCCAAGCGTCGTGTTGAAATTCGAGGCTGATGATATAACTATTCAGTCGAATTTATTGTGTTAAGTCGGCGTTCCAAGGGGAGGGAGACACAACTTGCACAAGAGCAGCTAGTGGCCACGGATGGTTTTCGAGATGTTGGACGTTGTGGATCTATGGGGTTGTTGGAGTGGGAATATATGTTTGCTTTCCTCAGCTGAGCTCAGGAGTTT